ACTTCGTTATGGGAGTGGTTAGTATAGTATGGTGATATGGGTACAACATGCACGGAATATCTGGGATAAGTGGAGTTGGGGGCCGGTGATGCTGTTATGCTTGAATTATATTTGATAGGGGCACTGGAAGGACGCGGCGTTATTTTTGGGCTGGGTGGACTTTTCCTTTTCTTTTTTACCTTTGCTTGTTTGCATTTTCTCAGATTCCGCACTTTCAGTGCTCTAGTTTTTTATTTCCTTTGTTGTTGTTTGGTTTTGTTTTTTTTGTCATTGCGTTTTTTTCGTTTGTACCATGGAGTTAGGGGTGCGAGAGCTGTTTTCCTTCATCATATCATCGTCATCATCTTCCTCCTCCTTCTCTTCTTCTTGCTCTTTCTTTCTTTTTTTTCTGATTCTTTTTCTTTTCCCAATGTGCAATATTGTTTTGACACTCTGTTATCTAGTGGCGATTGGACGGCGGCATTGGGAAGATGATAGTGATGGCAAAGAAAGTCGTGTGCAGATTCGACGGTTTCTCTGGGTGTACTGTATCGCACTGTACTGTATCTACTGTAGTCTACCACCAGTAGTTTTCTCTTTGATTGAGGTAGCATCATATCATAGCTGTTGTACTTCAGACTCGGTCCGTTTCAGATCCGGATATCCAACTCCCGAGTTTTGCCAATGGGCGCGCATCATTCGTGAAGAATCGAGGACGTGGAAATTCACGAGCTTAAGGGGGTTGGTTGCTAAAGTAGTGAACCCACCGTCAAGGCTTGTGGGAAATTCTGGTGCTGATGATGATAAGACTAGCTGGCTACCGGTAGCTTTGATAGCACAGAGGCGATATCGCATGATGATTATCCCTGGACCATGTTCTTCAGGATATCGCCGACGAGTCGGGTCGGTCAGTCGGTCGTCATCGCGCCGACTCAAACCTGACCGCGATCCTCAGCCCAAAAAGCTCATCTCATCTCATCTCCGCCACATCCGCGTACGCATCCCAAAGGGCATCCCATCGCATCGACTGCGACTCGAGATCACGCCGCCATCAACCCCTCTCCCTCCCCTTTTCTCTTCACCACCACCATCGCTCATACTGTAGACCTATCCGTTCTCGCAGCCTGGGAGTCTCGATTCCTCGATTCTTGTTGCTGCCCAACACCCCAGCGCCCCAACACACACACCAAACGCTCCATCATGAGCAGCAGCATGAGCAGCATCACGTGTCATCATCCCCCATCCCCCCACACATCCCGATGATTCCGCATCCTGAAGATTACTCGCGCCTTGTCCGGTGTGGTGCTTGGGCTTAGCGCGTGGCTGGCTGGATGGAAGTGATGAAATGGGGGGGGGGGGTGCGTACGTACGCGTCAGGCCATGAAGAATGGGCGTGGGCGGGATTGGTGAGATGGAGGTGGAGGTGAGGTGTTGTCTCAGTTTAGATATCGCTGTAAAGGCGAAGATGGGGGGTGGTGCGGAAGGGTTAAGTTAAGGGGGAGGCGAGAATGGCGAGAGTGGCGATTTGATGATACAGTAACTACCACAGTGAGAGAGAGAGAGGGTGCTGGGACGCATGAGGAGGATGATGAATAATTTCGACATTCCGCAGCCACCATTTTTTTCGGTCTCGGGGGTTGAGGGTTGAGGAAACGCAGACATGTCGAGGCTGGTAACTGTAACTTCATTTCACGGAAGCGAGCCCGTCGCTGCAACAATGGACCACACGACATGGCACAGCACGCGGCAGACACGCGGGGGAACCGGGACAGGGGTTCTCGGTTGCACCCGATGCTGATGGTGATGCTGAGATTTTAATTTTTCTGGCGAGGAAGGTTGTGTAACGGCTCGGGTGGTGATGTAACATACTGACTGTAACGTGACTTGTTGGAGGTAGATGGAGACGCGGTCTGAGGAGGGGAAAGAGAGATGGGGTGAGTGGGGTAGACGAAGTGGCTTGAGCTACTGGTAGTATAGCAGGTCATGAAGAGAAGATAAATTTGCTTGGATTGAAACCCTTGATTCTAAGACGAATGCGTCGCCCTCCTCTTCCTCGTCTTCAACCTTTTTCGGCGGCTTCCGGCGTGCGCGTGTATTGTGACAACCGCGCTCATGCTCAACCACCCTGTGGCCCGTAAATACATGTAGGTACTCGTATACACAGTATCAGATTTGTGGTACCTAATCGCGGATGATACGATGAAACGGACGCGAAATGTTGGGTTGGTGTTCACAGTCGGTACGGGGAGGGTTCAGGTTCGCTTTGGGAGCTGAACTGATGGATAGCCGCAGACACAGGATTATGCGTGTGTGGATGAATTAAGGTTTTTGTGGCGAGGATGAGGGTGGGAAAGTTTCCCAAGACTTGACTCCAGATTTTATGGGACAATCAAGATGATTGGAGAGTGTTATTTAATGATAGAGGAATTACCCATGAGACCTGGAGCCACGATACGAGACACCACCTCCGTATTCTTATAGTCACCACTGTTGATGACGACGACACGATGACCATGATGATGCCCATCTCCACCAACCCCGCAATCCTAGCGCCATCCCGGAAGCGACCGACCGACCGACCGACCCCCTCGCCAACTTGCAGCTAACCCTGGGCAAGGCATCGCGCAGTGAATCATCCCCACCACCATCCATTTCCCGGAACGGATTCTTCACCCTGAGGAAAAAAAGTCGCCGCCGGTGACGCAAGGTGACGCAGGAATAGGGGAGGGGGGAAATTAGGGTCTTGTGATCGAGGGAGAGCTAGGGGGGATGAGGATGATGAGTGAGGGATTTGGGGGGAGTGGGGATGGGTGGAGGTGAGTCGTGGTGAGCGGAGGGCAGCTTGGTGGCTGATTGATACCTCGCCACTCAGGAATCGGGGACGTGGAAACAGCTGATGTTAGAGAGTTGTGATTTTGATCAACAGGATCTTTATCCTGCGGTATCCACACCTCCTCCATCCCATCCCATCTCGTCAAAAATCACCCATTTCATCTCTCTCAACCACCTCAACTCCCTCCAACCTCTCCCAGAGTCGCCACCAAACACCCTCACCCTGCTTCCCATCTCCACACTTTCCTAGCGTCATGCACTCCACACTCTGCACTCCGCATTGTTGAGAAACAACCCGCCCGTAACTCGGAAGATCAAAGAACAGAGCCTTATGCGCACTTTCCGCTGTGCCGATGCGGGGGCGGCGGGGAGGGAGGTCTGGAAGTGTTTTGTTCTGGTCGAACCGAGGGATGGATGAAGAAATGGTTTGGAATGATTGCGCCGCCATGGTGGAGTGGTGGAGTATGGGCTCCGAGACCGTGGTTGTGATTGTAGAGTACTCTAGTTTCCTGGGGACAAGATGTAGCAAAAGTTGATGGCTCTCAAAGTTAACGATGATCAACACAAATAATATACACACTTTCCCCAGATCAATGCCTAAAACACAAAGATAACTCAGCATCAGCATCATCATCACCGATCAACCCCCATCGCCAACCCGTGTGTAAGGTCTCCCCAACTCCCTTCAATTACCCAGACCCTCTCACCAATTTCAGCGCTCCCACAAGCAAAAGCAACCCCCCTCAACCCCAGTTTTATCCCTTCCAACACAAACCATCATTCCTCCCACCATCCTCTCACCCACCGTTTCCCAACCCTCGAATCCATAATCCGAGTGCTCATTTATGAACATCCGAAAAAACTCCATGTGGCCGCATCGAAGTTCATATATATCATTTCGGCTGCAACGCTCTTCCGCATCCCAACAGTTGTAAGTTGACTCGAGTAGTTGCGGAAAACATGTGTAGAGTAGTCATCCAAGGCTCTGCCCTCAACCCTCAATCCTCAATCGCATTTGCAACAATTTCCCACTCGGCAAAACCAATAGACCCGAGATTTCACCACCGCGCTCACCACCGCCTCAACGTGGTATCATGGTATCATCCCGCTACCCGTCAAAAGCATCGAGAGCCATAATCGGATTGATTGATTGATTGATTGTAATCATTTAAGCGCATGCGTCCCTTTGGGATATGGCGCGAGAACTAACATACAAAGCGTCCCCTTTCCGCAGTGTCGTACTGCATCTACTCGAAAAAAAAACTCTGTTTCATCCGTTTTCAACCATTCTCTCGCCGGCCTTGCTGCCTTTGCAGTGGCCGCCTTTTGAGCTGTACACTGCTGTGCACTTAGACTCTCCTGCATCTACCGGTTTCTTCTTCCCTTGCTTTACTATGTGCTCATACCCTCCTCCACTCCATACTCTTCCTCCCACCCCCATTCCTCATGTACCCGGTCTTCTTCGGCTCTATCCTCGTCCTCTGATTTTGGTCTTCCCACCAGCGTTTCTTCGATGAATTTTAGTATCGCCTGAGTGGCCCTGGGTTCCGCGAAGATTGTCGACAGCGCGTGCGTCTTCATAAACCCTTCTTTCCTCAGCGTGTTCCAGAGCCCCTCTTGCTCCCTTCTCCATGTTCTACACTCTTTGAACAGGTGGTCGCGGGTCTGGCGGGGTCTGTCGCACCACCAGCATTCGTCACTGTCTCTTTTTCCTATCGATTTTAAGTAGGCCGCTGTGACTGCGCGGTCTGCCGCGAACCTGTAGTATTGAAGAGCGACTTTTTTCCGAGCTTTTGCCGCTGTTGGGTCTACCTTGGTGGGGATAGTACTTTTGGCACTTCTCCCCAAACCACTGCTTCTCTTCTAGATGTCTGGCTTCGTTGGTCAGCCGGCTGATGTGGGCTAATGAGGGTTTCCGAATCCCCCGGACATTCTGATTGCGGGTGGCGGCTTCTTTTGCCGCTTTGTCTGCTACCTCATTGCCAACTATGTCTTGGTGGCCGAGTACCCAATGTAGGTGAACATCCACTCCTCTATGGTTTAGTGCAGCATAGCATCTCCGGATCTCGTCGGCAAGCTCTTGACCGGGTCCTTGGTCCAACGACTTGATCCGTTCCAGCGGCCATAATCGGATCAGATTGTAATTTATACTTAATCTCTTCTCAAAGACATGAAACATGAATCCTAGTGCTTGGTTGGCTCAGTTGGTAGAGCGTTGGTCTCATATCCTCCGTGCATATGACGGTTTCAATTTAATGAAGCTGATATCCAAAGGTCGTGAGTTCGAGCCTCACACCGAGCATTTCTTTTGGAGTTTCTTTATGGCATCCCATTTCTTGTCTTCGGAGGTTGCTTTGCCGAGGGGTTTCTAGTACCTACAAGCGGGGGTTGTAGTGTTTCGCTAAATTGATACCAGGTGAAAGTGACTGGGATAAAACAGAGTTCGAGTCGAATGGGTATGTGAATAAAAACAAGGGCTCTCCGAGTCTGTGAGACCTTCCACCAAAAAATCAGTGATGATGCGGATGCCAAACCCACTCCACTTGTGTGATGTGACCGTGCCTGAACAAGAGGGAAACAAGGAATAAACAATAAAAAGCCTCAAACATAGTGCCAAACCCTCCAGTACCAAAACTAAAGCAAGGACAACAAAAAGGTGCTCATGATAATAATGATGATAACGCCGTAACCCCCAATTTACACCCATGTCACGCCGACTAATATTCAATGCAAGAAACGTCGTGTACTCGAACTCCGACTCGGACTCGGACGGAAAAAGATCAGGTCATTTCCTCATCCTCCATCTCCAAAAACGGTGCCTGACCCTTTGAATGATTCTGATAGTGTTTATCCTCGGCCTCATCATCACTATCCTCCATCCTCCTCTTCCCGTTTCCATTACTACTGGCGCAGTAGTGTCGGGGGATATGTAAACCCGTCCCCTGCCGCGGTTTCTCACTCGCCTGTATCGCCGCATCCTGTGTTCCTTGTTGTTGGTGTTGGACTCGACTCATCTTCCGCGCCTTCCAAATCGGCTCATAACTCGCGAGTGTCCATTTCGCCCACTCATCCAGCGAGACACAGAAACGTTTCGCCTGGATGTATTGGATCGCCTGGATAGCCGTGATATCGAGATGCTGCATTATATACGCCGTTGCAACAGCGGCGCTGCGGTCGTTGCCGCTTTCGCAATAGAGGAGTGTTATACCCCCACTGAGCTCTGAGTTCTCGCGCCGGAGCTCGTGAAAGTGCCGCCCGTTGATGGGGATATCCTGAGCGATTTTATCACGGAGGTGGGGTGGCAGCGCGCCGAGGAGGTGCGAATCGATGATGTCTGCGGCGAGGGGAAACTTGGAGGCGAGATCGTGCGGGGAAGTGCTATCGACCGAGTTGTAGGTGACGCCTGGGGGCAGTTTTGGGATTATCCCGACCCCACGCGACATGTGGCTGCGGACATTGATGACTTGTGTGATGTTGTGGGTGAGCAGGAAGTCAGATTGGCGGAGGGAGGAGAGAGGGCCGAGCCAGAGGTGCGGGAGGAGCTGTTGGGCCTCGCGACGTTGCTCGTATTTCCAGTCGCGGACGATGTGCGGGAGGGCGAAGTCGGGGAAGTCGGTGGGGTGGGAGGTGGGGTGAGACGTGGACGGGTCGGGGAGGTCTGGGGGCGCGTTAAGGTAGGAGAGGGATTCGAAGACGGGGGGTGGAACGACAACGCGTGGGAGGGAGGGGAGGCCGGAGGTATAGTGGGTTGCTGGGCTGTGGAGGGGGGAGCCTTGGGGTCGGAGAGGGCGGAAGGACATGGGAGCGGCGGATGGCGGAGGTTGCGGGGCGAGGCGGGAGTGTCGGGGGTGGTTGGCAAGAGGAGAATTCTGGGTCGTTGAGGCGCTGAATGGGAGGATACAGGCCGAGAGAGGGAGGAGGGTAGTGAGGTAGACCGGAGAAAGGAGGGATGGTGTATAGGGATGGAAGACCAAGAGGAAGAGAGAATGTTCCGCGTTGACGCGTAAAGTGAGGGTGACATGCGGTCACGTGCTGACACGCGCTTCCACTGGAAGACAGAAGATCCCCAGCTATTTACAAAAAATACATTCCCCATTGAAACTTTATGATTGCTGTAGGACAACATTATAAAATTAGAGTTGAATGCACAGGACCGTAATCTGATTTGTCCATGGGCTACGGGCCTTTCGTCGGTCCGTTCGGTGCATTGATGTGCGAGCTCCAATCTCATGTTGCTCAAGCTCCAGCTTCGTCATCCGCTTGACAATCACCACCCCTGTGGTTCTGCAACGCATGCTCCTTTCTCATCGCCGACGAACCTCGTCCACCTGGTCGAACCTTCTCCCTGACATTTCTACCGCCAATTCAACACTCCAGCCCCGAAATCTCGAGCCCTGAATCGTGCCTTGTCACTCCTTCCGCCATGACGTCCACATGGGCCGGGACTCCCTCAATCAAGGGATCCTCCGATGCCGTGCGCATGGCCCTTCTCACCATCAGGTAAGTGACTTTCACCCTCAAGGTCCTTCAAGCTTTTGTGGCCATCTGCTAACTTCCGTAGCCTGTCTGGCGTACAGCTAGGTCCGTCCTCCCATCCCTCGTTCGAGCGCCTCCGCACTCCGAACGATAACGCTGACATGCGCGGTCCACCCAGTCTGGGGAATTGAAATGGCCTGTACGTGATTTCCTGAGGACAAAGGCGACAATCCACTGATGGATCCTCCGAACAGATTGCGCCCCGTATCTGCTGTCGCTCGGCCTCACAAAGTCGCTCATGAGCTTGGTATGGAATGTTGGGCCTATCAGCGGCATGATATGCCAGCCGATTGTTGGCGTAGTCGCGGATCGGTCTACATCAAGATTCGGTGGGTCAAGCTATGGTGACCGTTGAACTGGGACTGAGTGGTTACAGGCCGACGAAGACCTGTCATTATGCTTGGGAGCATTGCCGTGGCTATGGCATTGTTTGTGTTGGGGTGGACTAAAGAGATTGTGGGGCTGTTTTTTGAGGAGAGTGATTTTGTAAGTCGTCCGAGGAGAAGGGCCACATGGATTACTGACAAGTTGTAGGCAAAACGGGTAACAATCGTGTTGGCGGTTTTGGCGATTTACCTGGTGGACTTTGCGATCAATGCTGGTATGAACACCGCTCCACGACTGTACGCTCGGTATTAAAAGACGTAGTTCAGGCTTGTTGCAGAGCGCTGATTGTGGACACGCTGCCACAAAGTCAACAACAGCATGGAAGTGCGTGGGCGAGCCGCATGATTGCAGTGGGGAATATTGCCGGATACTTTGCGTAAGTCTATTGATGCTCATTACTCATCAGTGCTGACTTTACTAGTGGCATGGTGGATTTGGTGGGGATATTTGGCAAGACTTTTGGTGATACGCAGTTTAAGCAGCTCATGGTAGTTTCAGCGGTTCTACTGATGATTTGTGTTGGAATAACCTGCTTCTCCGTCACTGAGCGTGTCTTGATCTCACGGAAGTAAGATCCCCGGAAAGAACCACAGCAGCTCAACAAACTAACAATCCCCAGAGCAGAAGGCAACCAAGGAATCCTCGCCATCTTCAAAACAATCTGGTCAACCCTCTTCAACCTCCCTTCCAACATCCGCGCCATCTGCATAATCCTCTTCTGGGCCTGGATCGGCTGGTTCCCCTTCCAAGTCTACTCCACAACTTTCGTCGGCGAAGTCCTCAAACGCTACGACACGGGGATGCGAAGCCAGCTCTCCAGCACGGAAGACCAGGTCGGCGCCATCACTCGTGTCGGGTCCATGGCGCTTGTCCTCTTCTCTTGCATGTCCCTCGCCGCCTCCGTCACACTGCCGTGGATCATTGTGGCCCCGGAATCTGACGAGCTCCATAAACCTGGAAACGCAAAGGGGATCTTTCAGAAATGTCTGGATGCGCTGGAACCGTTTAAGCCGGATTTGACGACGACGTGGATTTATGGACATTTGTCGTTTGGCGTTTTGATGCTGTTGACGTTATTCGCGTCGACGGTTAGCTTTGCGACGATTCTGGTTACGTTGAGTGGAGTGTGAGTTTTTCCCCATTTCCTGTTCCCGTTTCTAGTTGTATCAGAGTGCTTATTGTTATGGTTATCGACAGAGCATGGGCACTAATGACCTGGGCCCCCTTCTCCCTCGTCGGCGAAATGATCATCCGCCTCAACGGCAACGACACTCGACCTCGCAATCGCCGCTCTTCCAACGCCCCCTATCGCGGGTCCTACACACCGGTATCAACATCCGATGACCACCATCATCAACAACAGGAAATGGTGGAAATGCAAGTATCCCGAACATCCCTCTCTAGCTCCGTACCACCATTCTCGGTATCCGATCTGGAGGCTGCGAGGAGGTTGAGGGCGAGCCCTAGTGGTGAAGGGGGGAGAAATGGAGGAGAGGAGGAGGAGTCTGCGAATGAGCTCTCTGGGATTTACTTAGGGATTTTGAATATCTTTGCTTGCTTACCGCAAATGTAAGTTCTTCCTTTTTCTTCCCCCCTTCCCCGTGTGTGCAAAACACTCAACTAAAATCGTTTCACCACCAGGGTCGGGTCCTTCATCTCCTTCATAATCTTCTCCCTCCTCGAACCCGGCAAGAGCCCCGAGTTCTCGGGCGATGAGGATGTCGAGGCGCCTACGACAGGGGTGAATGCGATTGCGGTGTGTTTGGGGATCGGTGGGTTGTGTACGTTGGTGGCAGCGCATTATACCGCTAGGTTTAGGGCGATTTATGTGTAGGACTTTGGGAGAGGGCTGGGGGATATAGGGGGATAATGGGAGAGGGATAGTGTAGATTTCCTGGTAATTCGTAATTTCATAATCCCTTTTGTAAGCGAGCCATCTAGCGGTGTTGGAGATTAGAGCTCAAAGTGTGCTGCAATACACTACAGGTTTGAAGTCTGCCATGGTTGCTTGGTTGTGGCTTCATGATGTATCACACAGATTCCCAAGGACGCCATTGGTGGGTTCCAGGGTGGATGGTTGATGAACTAGCCTTTTGAGGTTTGCGGTATGGTTCAACTTGCGTGGTTGTAGTGTGGGGTTATATTACGGGATGATTTAAATGGTTGTGGTTGGGGGGGTGGGAAGGGGACGGGTGTTGGTGTTGGGGGAATGTTGACGGCAGGGGGGCGTGAGAGGAACATTCTGGAGGAGAAAAGGGCAGCATGAAGGAGATGACTCGAGAAAGATAAAACTAAATAAAGTGGGGGATATTGGACTGGGCTGTGGTGTTGTGAAAAGTGAGAGGTGTTTTTTTCTTTTGTAGACCCATTATTACCATG